GAAAAAAACATGATATTAAGAAAGGTATTCATAATTTCACAAAGGACTGGCTGGGTGACTCTGCAAGAAGGAAATTGGGAAATGTGGAGTGGCCAGGGGGGGAAGAAGATGAGATGAATTTCAAAAGAGATTATGGGATTACCTTCTTGGCCTGGTTTGATATACATCCAGGAACTATCTTGAGGTCTCCAGAAGCCTTTCCAGACCCCTTTCCTCTTTTTGAGCTTGCTTTGGTGGATCTTTATTGGTATGGAGGGGGGGAGGGATAACATGATATTTTTTTCTCGTCTTTTTGACAGCAAACATTTGAGTTTTGTGTAAGTAGGAGGGGATGAATGGGTATTTGGGGTTAGACAGGAGGGTGCGCTGCTAAAATTTACATAGTCATCTGGCGGTCAGTTTCTGGCTGAAGAGGCAGCTATTCTTTTGTCACACTTCCCCTTGATCAATGTTTAAATATAATGTGAATGAGGGACGTTGGACCCGGTTTCCAGCAGGTGCAGCTCCCCACCAATAGAATGGAGCCAGTGGCCAGGTTTTTAGTGGTGGATGCTCTTATCACCATCACTAACAACCAGGGTCCGAGTGTTGTCAAAAAAAAAAAATAATAATAATAATAATAAAAAAAAAATCATTTTGTAGGATTTTTCTTTGATGTGAAATCCGTTTTGTAGTATGCTTTGACCCTTTCGGTTTGGCCGAGAAACAATTTTGCGTTGAGAAAACTACCCTACCGAGGGTAGGGTAGATTTGTCAACTGCAGTGCCTTTCTCTTTTTTGTTTTTTCAGACATCATTACATCTTGAAACGGAGGAACTCTGACAGATGTGTTTGGCTCTCTGGCATCAAACTCGTTTCCTTCTTTGGGCAATGAACCCATTTTGCCGTCCACGTTGTCCCTGTCCATTTTACAAATGGTGACATCCTGTCCTCTCACCACGGGGAGTATCCCTTTTCCACAGAGACATTCACTCCGACTGTGTCAGATGTGTTTTATTTCTCCGAGTTACTTCATCAAAGATAAGGATGTCAGTGAAGGACGGGGCGCGTTAGCGCTGCAGTAACACAACGCTAACATGCCCCCAAGGGAGGCACTAGCAGCGGCGCATCGCTAAGCGGCCTAGCGCTAAGTGCCCGAAGTTGTTGGCGCTAGAGAGCTAGGGTTTTGCCCGGGCTAAGGCCACCATACCTAGTCGGCTCTAGTGGCCCACGGCGACCATGTCTATGAATTGTGGATGTGGAGCTTGCCCGACATGCCCCAATGAGAAGGAGTGTCTGCTGGCGGTGGGTGTGGTGCCTTGTGTGTGATAAATGAATGACTTGGAGCGCTGGTGCATCTCCCCTGTTATATGCAATATGCAACCAAGATTAGGGCGCGATTGGCGCTGCTGGTCTCAAATATGGAGCTATATTTCTCAAACAACACATTGATATTGCCAAGTTTTTTCCATCGAGACAGCCGCGAGCTTCCTTGATTAGCACGGTTTGGTTTTCCTGCACGCTGAGTCGCTTGGCCAGGGGAATTATGGTTTCCCGTACGTCTTGTTCCTTTGCCAAGGAAAACTATGTGCTGACTTGCTGAAGACGAGTGGTTTTTTACATCTTGTTTCATGTTATGAGGTGAATAGACTTTGGATTGCCGCTTTAGTATTAGTTCGAATTTTTTATCTGCCTAGGTGCTTTCATGCGCTTCCGTGTTGGAGTATTACGGGTTGTGTTGCCAATTTTGTATAATACTTGGAATATGTTGGTGAATGATGTTTTTTGAAAATTTTGGGCTTACTATTGTCGTTTTAGGCTAGGCTGTTTTCCCGGGCGTCCGGGCACCCAACTTCTGCCCGGGTACACACCCCCGGCCGGGCATGACCCCCGGGCAGGGTTCCGGGCAGCCCCAGCGCCAAAAAAAAAAAAAAAAAACCTCAAAAAAATCTGGAAAAAGAATATGTTGTGTAGGATTGAAATGCAAACCACTTTTGGCTGAGGGTCACATTATAATTCCTCATAGAATCGGAGATAAAAAAAAAAAAAACAGAATCATTTAGACCCCTTTAGCCCCTTTAAAACCAATTTATACCCCCCTCCCCCCCCCTTGACAGCCAACTC